CTACAGTTGTAAAATATGATTATAGATATATATTAATTATTATACTGAATTTTTAACACTTTTCTGGTTCGTTATGCTTGTAATAAAATGAATCCGCTAGAGATTCAATACAAGAAAGTTCAAAACATACGAAATATTAATAACATTCCAACGGTCGGGTCCCGACCATTGGAATGTAAACCTGCCAGAACGTATATGCGCAGAACGGACTTTACATGCTCTTTAAGCAATTTATAAGGTATTGTTTTTATATTATGTTTATAAGGACAAATTGTACGTTGTAGTATTTATATTTGTATATATTTTCGAAGAATATAGCTGAATGTAGCTCTGGCCAGTGTTTTCAAGTTTTTATGTTTACAGTATTTGTTTTTTCGCATTTTGGTCGGAGAAAAGTACATTTCGGGCTATATTATATATATATATATATATATATATATATATATATATATATATATATATATATATATATATATATATATATATATATATATATATATATATATATATATATATATATATATATATATATATATATAGTTTGCCTTTTAAAGGCAAATAAAGTTCTTAATTGAAGATCAGAAATATTTGTGAAGTGCGGCCACGCAAAGAAATTCCACGCGAGAAAATTTGAGAGCGTGCGCGACAAACGAACGCGCGCGATAAACGAACACACGCGTCAGCAAACCGTTAGTTAGTAGCGTCAACAAACACATGACGACCCGCACGTTTTGAAAAACAGCGGGATCTGCAAACTGAGTTTGCAACTTCAGGAAGCGAGCAACGCTAATCGCATTATTAATTACCGCTATAAGATGTCATCAATCCAGGTTCAGTTGCTTAGACGCAGTGTGAAACCAAGCAAGTAATAAGTTAATTTTCTGTTATGCATTAAAATAAAAGTGTACAAATATGTCACAATGCTGACTGTTGACAAGTCACCTAGGGCATAGTTAACTATGCCTAGGGCCAGGAGGCTATACTATATAGCGTACAATGTGTAATAAGGCTGCGTATAATATGTAATATTAAGACTTGTGTGTTGTAAAACAAAACGTTCTTGGTATCTTAGACAATAGCACGATAATTCAATGTCAAGACCACGGAACATATTTGCCGTTTTAGATCTTGGCAGTATAAAAAGTCCGGCTTCAAAGGCGTAAGTTTTCTATGGCTAAATAATAAAGAAACTGACTTATAAAGTTATATAATTATACCGCCTTTCCCTGTAGGCCCTAGTGCGGACATGAATCTGGTACAAATGTTTTCACCAACGTATATATCAAATGTATATATTATTCCAAAAACAATAGCTGCATTGACACCATTGTCTTAGCTAATCTACGGAATCTACGCCCGGCCTGCGTTGTGAGGTAAAGAATAATATAAGATTCCTTTTAAGCTTCCACTGGTTAAGAAAAGATAGGACATCTTCATAACCTGTCAGCAAAAGATGGGACATCTTTCTGACACAAGAGTTTTCACTAAAAGTATTCTAGATATTATTCCAAAACCTATAGCGCAAGCTGCATCGCCTTACTCTAACTTAGCCTGATGTAAAGAATAATATAAGACTCCTTTTAAGCTTCCACTGGTTAAGAAAAGATGGGACATCTTCATAACCTGTCAGCAAAAGATGGGACATCTTTCTGACACAAGAGTTTTCACTAAAAGTATTCTAGATATTATTCAAAAATCTATAGCACTAGCTGCACCGCCTTATACCCTAACTTAGCGTGATGTAAAGAATAATATAAGACACCTTTTAAGCTTCCACTGGTTAAGAAAAGATGGGGCATCTTCATAACCTGTCAGCAAAAGATGGGACATCTTTCTGACACAAGAGTTTTCACTAAAAGTATTCTAGAGATTATTCCTAAAACGATAGCACTATAGCTGCACCCGCTCCTTTTAAGCTTCCACTGGTTAAGAAAAGATGGGACATCTTCATAACCTGTCAGCAAAAGATGGGACATCTTTCTGACACAAGAGTTTTCACTAAAAGTATTCTAGATATTATTCAAAAAGCTATAGCACTAGTTGCATCGTCTTACCCTAACTTAGCGCATTGTAAGGAGTAATATAAGAAGACCCCTTTTAAGCTTCCACTAGTTAAGAAAAGATGGAGCATCTTCATAACTTGTCAGCAAAAGATGGGACATCTTTCTGACACAAGAGTTTTCACTAAAAGTATTCTAGATATTATTCAAAAAACTATAGCACTACTCCAACTTACTCTAACTTAGCATGATGTAAAGAATAATATAAGACTCCTTTTAAGCTTCCACTGGTTAAGAAAAGATGGGACATCTTCATAACCTGTCAGCAAAAGATGGGACATCTTTCTGACACAAGAGTTTTCACTAAAAGTATTCTGGATATTATTCCAAAACCTAGCGCTATCGCTGCATGCGCCGCTTTACTCTAACTTAGCGTGGTGTAAAGAATAATATTATAGACTCCTTTTAAGCTTCCGCTGGTTAAGAAAAGATGGGACATCTTCATAACCTGTCAGCAAAAGATGGGACATCTTTCTGACACAAGAGTTTTCACTAAAAGTATTCTAGATATTATTCCAAAACCTAGCGCTGTCGATGTGGCATACTCCCAATTTGATATTTCAACTATACTCTATAGGTATAGCCACAAAAATATTGGATATTGTCAAATCTGAAAGCCAGGGGTACGGCTCATCTCCGCGTTTACTCATCACTAGCTCGCCCGGGAAATAATCTGGCGATGCCCAGCGTAATGTCTAATGAGAATGATATCAAATTTAGTTCAATGGGCCATTTTAGACTAATTTTCGATTCTTTTGAAAATGCTTACGCAAGTTTAATTTGAACGCTGATATCTCAGTCAATATTTCGTGATATCTCATGTATAACCTATCAAAATTTAAGTTAGCCTTTTATGAATACAGCTACATTTATTTGAGCGATGTATAGCTCTTATAGTTTTTTCGCTATGGTAGATCAAACGCCTGAACTTTTTTTGCGCCACCCGGTATATATATGTAAATAAATATTATTTGTCTTGAGCTACCTTGTATCAAAATATAGAAATGAGTATATTAAATAACGAATATAGTACAATCAACTCGCGGTTGTGATAGCCCTGCTTGAAAGCCGTGGTATCTAGCATACTGTATACTAAAGAAATAATAACTGATGCGTGCTGCAATACCTATAGGCTATAGCCTTTTGACTATTACCTAACCTTACTGATTGAAAATACTTCGCATTAATCTTTAATCTTTATTCTTTAATAAGCAGCCATCAAAATATTGCCAGTTTGTTCGATCTTGATCTCCATCCTGAATCCATACACACGATTGTCAAGCAGAATGCACTCTTCTTCAGACCATTTTGGCGCAATTTGAACTTTGCGCGGCATTGTCTGCTAACATTATTATGAATTGGTGATAACAACTTGGTTTGTATGTTAGCTCAGTTAGTTATTTGCTACATCATATCTATGGGGTTAAATTTCATGCACGCATAAATTATTTCACTATAAATTCATTATACATGTCACCACTCTTACCACCTCGACTAATAATGCTGTGGTAACTAACACCTTCAAGATAATTCAATTTATAGGCGTGCGGGTCGTCATGTTGTAACAGCTGTTTTCAATTCTATATTAGTTCTGACATTCACTGTAAGTAAGTTACTATGGCAATTGAAATGCTACTTGTAAATGTTTGGACTATCGAATATAGATGCCACAAAGGAAACCTTCGGTCTGATTTGCATGGAACCTGACGTCACTTTAGGAGTATATATATCATAAGATATAAATCATGCAGTGCTCTTTTGTGTTTGGTTATTTTTCCACGGAAGAAAGCTATCGGAAATTCTGAAAAATAAGATCTAGGCTAGGAAGTATAGGAGTTACAATAACCGACAAATCTTACTCGGCTGCACTCGCATGGCTTTTGTATTTTGCAAACGTCTTTTATAGAGGTGACGACCTTGCTCACGCCTCATTACTTGTTCCGGTTAGTGGTTACTTTTGTGCAACCGTATACTCATATTTAAAATACCTGAATCACAAAACGAAACTAACTCAGCTGAGCAAGAAAGTTACCAAGGCGTTGTTTGATAAGTTATGTAATTTTTTGTCTCGCTTCCAAATTATGTGACGACTCAGGAGTAAAGTCAGTATTAAAGACCATTGTAGGGGCACTAGATTAAAAAGATATGTAAGCAAACACACGGCTTAGATTTGTGTGTTCAGTCGAGAATGGCCGCTTGTTGCCCGACGGAAGAGAAATATGGCTACGAAGATAGTTGTTTTGAGAAAGCTGTCGATGCCCACTTTCATTGCTCTATCTGCTACAATGTTCTGAAGGAACCAGTGATGTGTAGAAATAATGAACATATATTTTGTCGTGGCTGTATCACTGAACACTTAACTGTGAACTCGCATACTTGTCCAGAATGTAACGAGGACTTGACTATCGAAACACTTCGTAAAGCGCGTCTGGTGAGCAATATTTTATCTGAACTCAAGATAAAGTGCGATTATTCCAACCGAGGTTGCCAAGAGTTCATTCGTCTGGAAGAGCTAGATTCTCACGTCGAGAACTGCGGCTTTGCTCCGGTGAAATGCTCAAACGAGGAATGCGGAATGGAAATTAACAAGCGAGAGATTATTCATCACGAGAGCACAGTTTGCGAGTACAGGAAAGTCAAGTGTCATAACTGTGTGAAGATCGAGCAAGATATGCAAGAAATGAAAGAGAAAATGGAAGGAATGAATGAGAAAATGGAAGGCCTCGCATCCAAGGAAGATGTAAAGGCGTTTATCGAGGCGCTGATGGTCCAGATGTTTGAAAAATTACGCTTCCTTGAAAACACCATTCAAATTTCATCTGTTATCAACCAAGCATTGAATGCATTAATCGAAGACATCTTAGTAGCTGGGGGCAAGGACAGGGATGGTAATGCTTTGAAATCTGTTGAGAGATTTTCATGGAAGAAGAATGTCTGGGAAAGAGTGTCCTCAATGAGCGTTGTTCGTGTGGGAGCAACGTCGTTTGTTTACGAGAATCAAGTATTTGTCTCTGGCGGATGTGATAGTGATGTAATTGAGGTATTCAATTTGAATGAAGGTCTGCAGTTGCAATGTCGTCAATCTATAGCCAAACTTCCCTACCTTTGTGAAACCCTCCGCTCTGTGGTTTACCAGAACCGTGCAGTTCTGTTTTGCGCATGCGGTAAGACTGATCATTGCGCAGAACTTTGCCTTTCCGCACCTTACACATGTAAGCAGTTATGTAAAATACCTGCGCCAGCAAGGGAATATTATACCGTGGTTGCATTTGAGCACAAACTCTTGATTTTTGGAGGATTGTATGGTGCTACCAAAGATGATCTTCTTGACAGTGTGTTAGAGTTTGATCTCATCACGAATACATTTAAAGATATGCCTTCATTGCCCTATTCCGTTCAAAATATGACAGGTGTTCGTTGGGGAGATCAAGCCATTTTGTCTGGAGGCTGGGATAAAGGTGGCCCATCAAAAAAGGTGTTTATGTATAATTCCAAAACAGGAAACATCACTGAATTGCCATCTATGTTAGAAGAGAGAAATGGATGTCGTGCGATTATTACTGGAAATACAATTTTTGTCATGGGTGGACGAGGAAAGACCGGTCGTGTTAGATCTGTTGAAGCTTTCACTTTGGGTGGTTATACCTGGAGATATCTTCCTGCCATGAATGACATTAGAAGTGGCGCCACTGCAACTGTTTTACCAACGAAAAACTTTCATTGATGTGTATTAGTGACAATATATGTCGCAGACGAACAAACAAAATGCAACTTTTGTTGTATTGGGTTTTATTATCTACAAACAAACAGTTTTGTAATGTTGCAATTATATTTATGATAATACTAACCATGTAGATCACATATGTCTCATTATACTATGTTTAACCAATCTGCATACTTTGAGAAGATACTGATCATATATTATATTGCCTTTATATATATAGCTATTACATTATGAACTGGAGGGCACTCAGAGACTGCATACCTCCGCCCATACAGCCTACAGGGTGTATAAACGCGAGTGCATAAAGCAAAATTAAGTACAGTACATGCAACAACAGTAATATGATCTATTAGCAATTCGATTTCAATTCCCAAGGACCTTCAACCCAAAGGGGCGTTTAATCATGTATTTCTCTCATTTCCTGTGCATACGCTTTTGTCTTCTAAATTTCCCTTCTAAATTTCCATGGAAAATTTAGTTGAAAACCAAAGATTTCTTTGTCTTCTCCCCTGTATACTTGATGATGGAAATTTTGAAGACAAAAGCGTACCTCATTACCTCTCATTGGAGAGTTATATCTCATCAAAAACATCGGCACAACTATGGACAGTATCTGACGACACCGTCCCGCACACATTCGAACAATCACTTTGCTAGTTTTTATTCCGCAATGTTGAACATTTCAATTGTGGGAGAAAATTCCGTTTATGCGCATGCCTAAAAAGAATGAACACGCAGATGTGTTTCTGCGCGTGCGTATTATATGAAAAGTGTTCATCCCACAGTCATAAGAGAATCCCGAGGAACTTTTACTAAACCTCCCTTGGTTTGCGGGTTCGTTTTACTATTTTACTCACTAATATCCCTCAAAGCATGCGTTTACTTATAAGAATTGCAAAGTGGATTTCTTAGGAAATTACGAAGCTGCGTTTTTTTATACACCCTAGTGTATTGAAATAATCTATTGTTATTATTAGAATTTGAATGGCCATTATGGCCTAGCACTTTGCTGAACGCAACGATGCGTAACTCCGTAAGCCTACATTGAATATGATTGAATTTCGGTCGCGTGAAGACTGATAGATATTAAATGAAAGCTGAAGCTTAATGAAGTTTATCATCTCATTATTACCATTTACTATTGTCTTAATCGCATTCACGCCACCGAAATTCGGCGTATAAAATATATATAGTATACGATCTTTAATCCGCATACTTTGAACTGAACATATATTAATAATTATAGTGCCTTATATATACAGCTATAATATTGATGGTAATAAATGTACAATGTTTGGTAAGACTTTCAAACCATTCCTACTCCGTAGTCCGTCCAACATTTTGTAGGTCCAACTGCATTGGACGATGTTGGATCAAAATTTTGAACTTGAAAGTCAAACCTGACAAACCTGATCCAACATCTTCCAACATGAGTCAACTATGTCAACATTACCAAACCTAATGTTCAAATAGACCCAACAATGTTGAACGTTGTTAGACCAACATTTTGTACTGGTCTTGTCCAAATGCTTTGTGTGTTCAGTGTGACATGTTAGTGGTTTTGAAAATTTGGCTACATAATTAATGTTCATGTGCACAAAAATTGGCGTTATTTATGTGCATGTTTCACGTCCTCATTGACGTTGCGTTTTGTTTGCTAAAGCTCCCTATGCTGTTTGTTTTGGGAGATTATTTTGCAATCATCTATTCATATGTAAACTATATCATCATCACAAAACGATACTAACTTAGCAACACACGAAGGCGTTGTTTGATATAAGTACGTAATGTTTGTCATTCTTGAGGAGTCCAATTTATGTGAAGATGTACCGTAAAATATTTACTAGCTTAAAAGCCTTAGAATAAATTCGGTATTAAAGAACACTGGACTTGTAATATGAAAGATATGTAAACACATGGCTTAGATTGGTGTTTTCAGTCGAGAAGTGTATTATTCATTGTTTCTTTTCGAGAATGGCTTGTTGCCCGACGGAAGAGAAATATGGCTACGAAGATGGTCGTTTTGAGAAAGCTGTCGACGCCCACTTTCATTGCTCTATCTGCTACAATGTTCTGAAGGAACCAATGATGTGTAGAAATAATGAACACATATTTTGTCGTGGCTGTATTACTGAACATTTAACTGTGAACTCGCATACCTGCCCAGAATGTAACGAGGACTTGACTGTCAAAACACTTCGCAAAGCGCGTCTGGTGAGCAATTATTTATCTGAGCTTAAGATAAAGTGTGATTATTCTAACCGAGGTTGCCAAGAGTTTATTCGTCTTGAAGAGTTGGATTCTCACGTCGAGAACTGTGGGTTTGCGCCGGTGAAATGCTCAAACGAGGGATGCGGAATTGTGATTAATAAGCGAGAGATTATTAACCACGAAAGCACAGTTTGCGAGTACAGGAAAGTCAATTGTCATAACTGTATGAAGATCGAGCAAGATATCGAAGCAATGAAAGAGAAAATAGAAGGCCTCGCATCCAAGGAAGATGTAAAGGCGTTTATCGAGGCGCTGATGGTCCAGATGTTTGAGAAATTACGCTTCCTTGAAAACACCATTCAAATTTCATCTGCCGTCAATCATGCAGCGAATGCCTTAATGGAAGACATCTTGGTAGCTGGGGGCAAGGACATTCGTGGTAATGCTTTAAAATCTGTCGAGAGATTTTCGTGGAAGAATAATGTCTGGGAAAGAGTGTCCTCAATGAACGATGGTCGAATAGGAGCAACGTCGTTTGTTTACGAGAATCAAGTATTTGTCGCTGGCGGATGTGATAGTCGTGTAATTGAGGTATTAAATTTGAACGAAGGTCTGCTGCAATGGGGTGAATCTATGGCCAAAGTTCCTTACTACTGTAAATACCTCCGTTCCGTAGTTTACCAGAACCGGACAGTTCTGTTTTGCATATGCAGTAAGACCGATAATTGCGCAGAACTTTGTCTCACTGCACCTCACACATGTAAGCAGTTGTGTAAAATACCTGAGCCGGCAAGGACATATTATACCGTGGTTGCACTTGAGCACAAAGTCTTGATTTTTGGAGGATTATATAGTGCTAGCAATGATAATTTTCTTGATAGTGTGTTACAGTTTGACATTGGTACGAACGAATTTAAAGAAATGCCTCCATTGCCCTGTGCTCTATATGGTATGGCAGGTGTTCGTTGGGGGGATCAAGCAATTTTGATTGGAGGCTCCTCGGATAAAGACGGCCAATCAAAAAAGGTTTATATGTACAATTCCAAAACGGGCAACACCATTGAATTGCCATCTATGTTAGAAGAGAGAAGTGGATGCTGTGCGATTATTACTGGCAATACAATTGTTGTGATGGGTGGACGCGGAAAGACAACCGGTCGTGTTAGATCTGTTGAAGCTTTCACTTTGGGAGGTTATACCTGGAGATATCTTCCTGCCATGAATGAAATTAGAAGTGTCGCCACTGCAACTGTTTTACCAACGAAAAACTTTCATTGATGTGTTTTAGTTGTAATATATGCCAGAGACAAACAGAACGCAACTTTTGTTATGTATTGGTTTTGATTATGTTCAATGAACATGATAGTATTAACTAGAACATGATGCGGTATATTCAAAACAAATCCACGTATAGGTTATTGTGAGTGTCGGAAACTGACCTATTTAGCATTTCAATATTAGATTAAAGTTTAGATTAATTGGGATAATTTCATTGCATACGAATATAAACAACTATGATTGACAATAACAAATAGTTTTGTGGCTTGTATATTGTGTTATTATAGGCTATACTTGCTGGGAGACGATGATCGATATATATGTACTATTTAAACACGTGTATGGGATTGCTTAATACTAGATTCCCCTTATTACGTTATCGTAGCGCTTTGCATTGTGGTTATAGTGATATACGCACTGGAAACACACTCCTGATAAACACGTTGATTTTTGTCATCTGGACTTCTTTTTGGCGACAAACGTCAAATCTGTTTCAAGGTGACCCTGTTTAACGAAAAGAACAAACGTCAATTGATAGCTAGCGAAATTGAACTTTCGTTCATGCAGAAAAAACCCGCAGAAAAGAACCGATGGGTAGCAACCAGCCTGAAATTTGGACAGGATAGTTGCATCACTTCCGCTGAAATGGTGGACTAGTCCGGAATGAAGGAATACCAATTTATGTTTTGTTTTCTTCGACCAAATGTGTACCACGTTACTAATATGCATTTCAACTGATGCATTTCTTGTTTGTTTCAAGTATAAATGCCTATATAAATGCCATATAATAAACTTTTTATCAACCTCGCTTGCTCGGTATGTACAGAGAAATATTGGACCTCGGTCTTTTTTGTTCAAACCTCGCCGTACGTACGGGCTCGGCAGTGTACAAAAAAGACCTCGGTCCGAAATTTCTCTGTAAAGACATCGCGCTCGGTTAATAAGAAGTTAATGGGTAATAGTATGGTTTTGAGTGCAATGGCATGCACGAGTGAGTTTTACATTTTACTTTGTAAGTCAAACAAAATTTTAGCTAGAGTTGAAATGGATCCTCTATTCGTTGTGTCCAGGGTGAAGATGAAGACATTTTCGACTTTTTTAAATGTTACCAGGACAACTTCAAACATATGTCAAATGTGTATATGCGTTAATAAATCAACTGATTTGCATTACTAACAATGAGTGTCTCATATTCAACCTCGTTCCTAGGCTCTTCCCTCTTGTACACTTTCCTCCACAAGAGAGAAGAGCCTGGGAACCAAGTTGTCTCATATTACACCACAAAGCTTTTCGCGCGAATTATATTTCGCAGTACTAAAATTTGCGCATCCAGTGCTGAGCGAATTCTATTACTCTAGTGATTACTCGGCGCGAATTTTTTTTAATTGTTTTAATTCCCATGTATATAAAAAAAGCTACTTAAAATATGTTACAATAATTTAAAGATTTTGGACTAAAGACCTACTAGAATACAAGTAAGGTATATATTATTAAGTACTAGTTAAAACATGAGCAGCCCCGATCTTTATCTGATATACAATGAAATCATGTTTATGGTTTGACCACCTTTCTGAAACATGGCTGGGAAACAATGTTTCCTGGTTTGGCCACCTTTGGGAAACATTTATTTTGTATTATTATCTAAGATCTGTAATTGGGTATAGATTTTAAGACCAAGACGTTACT